CTAAGATTTTCATGCTCTTTTGGTAAATTCAAATACTCAATACTAAGATTAGCATGCAATTTTTTCAAGTTTTCTCTATGCATGATTTTTCTCAAAAACTTAAAATAATTCATTGTAGGATAGGTCACATATCTCGCTTGTTCTGAATTATCAAGTTTATCTTCCATTAAGCACAAATTTGTAACCTCTTATTCTGCTTATATTTTTAAAGAGTTTGAAGCTGAGTCAGCCTAGAAATCTATTTGCATTCTTTTTTTCCCCTTCTTAATGTTAATTTTATCCTCAACTTTCTCCTAGTTAGGATTAGCTTTGAGATTTTGGCACTCAATCTTTATATGTCCAGCCTTTCTGCATTCATAATAAATGACTTCATTAGAAACTTTTGAATTCTTATTGAACTTACATTTGTTCCAATGCTGATGTCATCATTACTTTCTCTTAAGAAAACTTTTGAATTGCTTAATCAATAGTATAATATCTTCATCATCCTCTAGCACTTATTGATCACTCTTTGAATCATCAACTTTTAAAGCAATATTTCTCTCTTACCTTTTGTCAACTACATCAATCTGTCGTTGTTTCACTTCTTACTCGTAAGCAATAAGTGATCCAAGAAAATTATTAATAGAATATATATTTAGATATTTAGACTCAATTATGGGAGTTACCTCATCATCATAAGCAGTAGGTAAATAATATAATTTTTTTTTAAAACTTTTTCTAAGTTTATAAGTTCGCTACCTAAAACATGCAATGGGGTAATAATCTGAGTAAACTTTATATACATATCAAAAACTAATTCATTTAGTTTCATGCAAAATAGTTTATAGTCATGTAATAAAATATTTAACCTAGATTACTTTTCCTCATTTGCTCCTTATAAGTTATGCAAAGACTATCCCAAATTTCTTTTCCAGTTTTGCAAGTAGAAACAAGTAGGGGTGTCAATTTTGGGTCATGAGTTAGGTTCAGGTCGAACCCAAAACTGTCCCAGCATTATTGGGGTTTGGGTTGACCCAACCTTTTTTTGTAAACAGAGCAATTTTATGGACCTGAACCCTACCTACAGACATGGCAACGCCGGCAGTACGGGTTGGAAATAATAGCCAGCTAGTGTCCGACTGCAGTGGATCTAGGTAGAAGCGATCGATGACTGATGTGGGATACAACATGATGCTGGACCACCTGGACGTGACACAGAACTTGAGTGGGACATGATCCGATGCTAGCCTCGGGACGTGACACGATGCAACAAGGCCGGGAAGTCGAGGTAAGTGGGAAGGCAGGCCCGCACAGGCGAGGCAGACAGGAAAACTCGGGCAGGGCTGGTCAGAGTGAGTAGATGGGTTGCTGGGTCATTCTGGGTCATTCCTGGGTTCCCCGGTCAACCCGAACTCTACCCGATTTTTCAAATGGGTCATTTTTTGGGTCATTCTTGGGATCCCTAGTCAACCCAAACTTAAAATTTTTGGGTCAGATTCGGGTTGAGTTTTTGGGTCGGGTCCAATATTGACACCCCAAGAAACAAGCATATAATCCTCAAAATTCAAAACACTAAAGAACTATTTAAATATTTTACAATTTACTATGCTAATTATATTTCTTCTAAAGTATACTCAGTAAATGATGTTTCAATTTTAATGCCATCAATAATTCTAGTAGATCTAGTGTAACCTTCATGTAATAATATATACATAGGATAATCAAGTAATTGTAGAAAAGTAGACATATGAGTTTTTAAAAAATAAAAAAGGAATATTAGCCTTCAGTAGTATTCCAATTTTTGAAATTAGCCATGATCATTTTTCAAAAAGTAGCCTAAACCTTAATTTTTGAAATTTGCTCTGATTCCATTTTCAAGTTTGTATCAGTTGTTAGACCTTATAGAATTGTCCCAATGCTAATCAAGAGGGGGGTGAATTGGTTATTAATAAAATAATTTTCTTAAATTTTTGAAAACCTTTTTAGATCTTTTAGAAAATTAAATAACTAATCCAAAAATATGTAGTTATTTATAAAAATAATTATCACAAAGGATTTTTCAACCATAAAAATTATAAATGCAAAAAATAAAAAATGCTGAAAAAATTAAAAATATCGTAAAACTTTATAGTGGTTCGGTCCAACTTGACCTACATCCACTCCCTAGAGACTCATTCTCCAAGTATTACACTAAATAACAGTGACTCTACTTTTGCCCCCACATCAAGGTAGAGAATCCCTTACAAACTCTCTTCCACCAACCCGATGCAGTAGAGAAACATCGCCTTTTACACTCTCCAAGTGATGGCAACATACAATCACATCCTTTTTCACCATCATGGTAAAGGCAGAGAATCATCGCCTTTTACACTCTTCAAGTTATGGCAGCGTACCGCCACATTCTTTTGCACCCTTCTGGTGAAGGCACAATACCTTGATCTAATCTTAAAGATCTTCTCTCAAGAGCCTCAAAATATGTTGGGCAGAAACATGAGGAAGACAAAGAGATCCTCACTTTTGGCAAGCTTTTGAATCTCTCATAACTCCCCTTCACTAGATCTATCACTCTTCAGTAGAATGTTTTGAATCCTCACAAAATTTCTCCCAAACATACTCTCAAGGGTCCCTTTAAGAGAAATTAGTAGTAAAGGATAGTTGAGATAGTTTTTAGGACTCTTTATATAGAAAAAAACATGAATAACCATCCAAAAACTAACATTTTCAAGAAAATCATCCTAAATTCGTATTGTATGATCGTGGATCGTCCGATATAAACAATTCAAAAAATCAGTGCTTCATTTGGTATGGCCTTGGAAAAACATAGTTTTGTACACTATTAGTTGTTCGTATGAATGTAGACCATACTATATTAATAGTTCAAAAAAAGTGTTTGTTTGGTAATATCTAGAACAAACCTAATTTTGTTTATGTCATTCATCTGTATGACTGAATATTTTAAAAAAATGTGTTTGTTCAGTATGATCTAGATTGAAATTAATTTCATACTCTATTAGTTGTCTATATGACTTGACATCGTACAGTATGAAAAATTAAAAAATTCAAGCAATGATTTGATTAACTATATTCTGGAGGAAAGTTATGTCAATACGATAAGATAAAGAATCAATTTATATTTTATCTATCTCCTCCGTGTGTTTGTACACAGTTACCCAACTACAATCACACTTTTCTGTCTCGAGAAATAAAAAAAGAGATATACAGACACTGTTATAGGAAATCGTATTCAACCCTATCTTGACGTCTTCAGCAATCTGGAGTAGTATATAATTTTCTTGAAATATTAGTACATATAAAAATAAACGGAAATATCCAATATATGATAGCATAAATAATAAAATCATCAAAATAATAATATTTTGTTATCATAAAAAATTATAATCTCAATCTTGATTTCTGATTTGCAACAAAATAGGTTGTCAAAAAATTGCTGGTGGTACATTTGTCTGAAAAGCTGTCAGAATATTTTCAGCAAAAATACCATCGATTTATCAGATGATATTTCTGGCGGACTTATACCGTTAGAAATTCCGCTTGAAGTAATAGTTTTTTCTATAGTGAGTAGTAGAAGAGCAAGTGGGTGACAACATTGTGGAGGGGTCTATGGTTTCGCTCTCATGTGGGCACTTCACCAATGTCCTTTCTCCCTTAATATTAATCTAAATGGAGTAAATCATGTCAAGGCTCGAGGTTATCGAAAGGATGGTGCACCTTAAATGCATCGCCAATCCTAATTGAAGACAAGGAGGGGCAATGTTGGGTGAGGTCATTGAGCTGAGGAAGGAGGTCACAAAATTGAGAAAGGCGATCTTTGTGATGATGAATCAATGTATTACCATGAGGACTCTAGTTGGCTTAGTGATGGTCATGATGAGGTTGCATAGATAATGTGAAGTTATTAGGCTTTGCAATGAGTAAATTTTTCCTAGATTATTTAGAAGGTATAGGGATTTAATATTGGCGATGGCAAATGGCCCCCTATGAAGGATGCTCCATGATAACAAGTAAAGTCGTCCCACTCTTAAAATTTTCATTTTTTCTTCTTTTATCTATGTTCTAATATTATAATGAAATGAAATGAAGTTATCTTATTTATGCAAAAATATTTATCATTACAAGAGCACTTTTATTTTATTTTTGTACTTTTGTCTTTATGTGATGTGACGAGTGTTATAATGTAAGGGGAGCGGGAATAACTTTATGAGTTCACTGAGAGATAAGTTGTTATAGCAAGTGGAAGTGAAAAGAGTGTCAGAGGGGGGAGCAAGCTGCGTGGTGTAATGGTTGATGGAAGCCTATTCCTCCCCTGTAACTGGCACTCGAATCACATAAACTACGCGAAAGAAGAGTGTCATAGTTAGTGTCTTAATAATGTAAGAATTCAATGATCATAGGCTCATTGTATTCGTCTTGTCGAGCATCTTATTTTGATTAATATCACATCATGTTTAAAAATTGTTTGGTAATCCAATTTATAGTTTGAATCTTTCAAAGGTGCTTCAGGTCTTCGATTTGGACCCATTTGGGCTAAGATTTGGTCAAATTTAGTGTCATTGCGTTTGTCTTTTCGAGATGTTCAGTTCAACTATAAGTTTGCAGAAATCAGGATTTGAATGTTCCCGAATTTAATTTTGAAACTTTCCAACTTGATTTTGAGATTCATGCCCAATCAAGATAATTTTTTGATGACATGTCAAGCCTATTGCAAAATATTTTGTTATTTTTTTCTTCTTTGAATATAACGACATTAAGCAATGACTTGGCCAGCACGTGTTACATGCTTCCAAGCGAATCTAACTTCATTATATTTGATATTCATATCCGGTGCAGTATCGTCAGCTTTATTTCAGTCAATCACCCATTTTAAATAGGAAGTTGTTGTGGGGCCAAAATTTGAAAAGAGTTTGCCGTGTCAGAATATTTTAAAAAAAGATTAATTATTATGAATTTAAAAATTATTAAATTATTTAAGATAAATAAAATATAAATATAATTGTGTGAACAAGATCATCCACACAATTCATTGCCAGGTAAAATAATATATCATCGACATATAAACTTGAACTTGTATCTTTGACTGTGACTTATAAGAATGGTTTGATCCTTTGCAGGCTATTTCGTCTAGAATTGGGTTGGAAGCTTCAAGGGTGTCTGAAATGCTCCAGCAATTGATGAGATGATCAGTTTATATTTTATTGGAAAAATTTATAATCAGAATACCTTGATAAAAAAATTTAAATAGATTTTAAGATGAGTGTGATATGTAGATAGTTAATATTATATTTATCTTAAAATAAATTTAAAATTTTGTGATTCATTCTGCTTATTTTTTTATCAAATATTCTGATATTAAAATTTTCCTATTCTTATGGTGAAATATGAGGCATTGTGAACCTAGCTAAGAAACTAATGGAATGCGATATTGCTTTTTTGGTACTTGGCTGGATTATTGGTTGATATCCAGGATCATTGTTGTGGTGATTAGAGCAATCATGTTTGGAAATTTAAATTTTTATCCCTTTTGTGTCATTATTATCGAAAGGCTTTATTTGAAAATATTGTTGTATATAGGTTATGTTTAACAAAAAAAAAAAAGATCCCAATAAAGTTTTTGGAACAGTGCGATTTTTTTAAATTGTTCTATATTAGCAGCATGTTTGTTGAATCTGAATTTGTTCGTGGATAAAACCCTAACTTATTTGCAGGTCAACTTGTTGAATTATAACCTTTTTATGAGAATGAAGAGCACAAAGAGTGTAGAGATAGCAGATGGCAGAGAAAAAGAGCAAGAGATATGTAACTAGCAGAACATTTACTTGAGGGAAAAATTCAGATCTCCCAATTGTTCTTCATCACTCCATGTTTGTAAGACTCTAAGGGATACAAGAAGGCTATACAGAGAAAATGTATGAAATTACAAGTTATATACAATAATCTAAAGGGATGCCGCTGAAGATAATGGGCAAGCTCTTTGTGGTTGGACGTGATTGATGACTTCTTTAGAAGATCTTGGGCTGCCTTAGGAAAAACGAGAGTAAGATATTGTAAAAATGGAGAGCTTTAAGTTCAATAATGTAAGTTGAACAATGTGAGGAGTTCTTTGAATAGGCATTTTACGGTAGCTTAGCTAAGCGAGCTTGAATGATTGTTGGGAGAGCCGTGCGAGAGGTAGTGGCATGTGATAGTTCGAAAAGATATCACTTATTCACCTCGTGCAGGGTGAGCCCTATGTAGGCATAGACAAGTAGAGTCTATTGTTCTCCTTTTTTTTTTTTTTTTTTTAAACTTGCAAGTAGCAAAATGAATTAAAATAAAAAGGTTATTACAACCTACTAAAAGAAAAGCTTCTATCACATTCCTTCTTTATTAAACTATACAAAGAAGAAGAAATATTATTAGAAGAAAAAATATCCCAAATCAAAATGCTACCCAAAGAAAAGTGGCACATAAATCAACCACTTTATTACCGTATCTATAAATATGATGAAAGAAAATATTATTAAAACTATTTAAAAAACAAAGACCTTTTTTTCAAAAATCATTTTACTGCCATCTCAAATTTTATTGTAACTTGAATGATCTTAATAATGTTGATATTATCCCCTTCAATGATAGCTCCTTTGTATTCAAACATTCAATCATGAAGATGCTCTCTTATTGACAAAACAACTTCCAATTCAAGTTGAGCAATAACCCAATGTATCTTCTTTTTTCCAAATGCAAGAAGAAATCTTCTCATGTGATCTCTAATTATATCTCCAATTCTTGCAAGATTAGACTTCAAAATTGATTCATCAATATTTATTTTAATCCAACCTAGTGGTGGGGGATGCCAAAAATTAAGAAACTCCGACCGGAGATTAACATCCCCACCTTTTAGGAGAGGATTAAGGCTAGGTTGTAAAGCTGTAGATAGAACATTCATAGCAGTAAATGGCATTGAAAGAAGCTTATTCCCATGCCTTTCATCATTACGGCACTTCCATGAAAAATATACATATGCATATTACAATCTAGCAATATTCCGCTGAAGCTTAACAAGTTTGATCATTCTAGAAATTAAATTGCTTAAAGACACAAAAACAAGAATTTAAAAACCCAATTCTCTATGCTTGCTTATAATTTCAATAAGATATTTACATTTAAAGAAATATGTAAATGATTTTCCACAAAAGCACATCCTCTTGCACATCTATCATCATGAGTTAGATTTCTGGATTTAAGAAATTCATTGGAATGAATAACTTTATTACATAATCTCCACCAGAACATATAAACCTTCCGTCTCAACTTCATCCTCCTGATGTATTTTGTGAATATGTTCTTTTCCATCTCAAATCTGCAGCTCTCTGATGCATAAAGTCTATTGGTCTCCTTGGGTGAACTCCTTTGGCAGTCTTAGGCTAGTTTCCAATAAAAATTGCTCTTGAGGGTGAGTATGTTTGTCATGCATTGGGTGTTACCTATGAAACACCTATAAAGGAATTTATGAGTATTCATTTAGTTTCTAACTTAACTTGACTCAGTAATAGATGAGTGGCTTGTTTAAATTGATTGTACTACATGATATCTAATCCTATTGTACGATTTGACTTGTTTTTATTTTAAGATGAAGTTAAAAAATTATGGCTTGAATTTTTGAATTGTTTGCACTATAAGATGTGAATTCGGACAAACGACTAACATAGTATGAATTTATATTCATACCAGATTGTGCCAACAAACGCATTAATTTTTGAGCTATTCTTACAGTACAATGTAATTTTATACAAATGACTTACATAATACAAAATTATATTTGTACTAGATCTCATTGAATGAACACATTTATTTTTAAACTATTTATACTATAATATGTGAATTCGAACAAATGACTGACATAGTATGAAATTATGATCATTCCAAATTATACCAAATAAACACATTCATTTTTTAACTATTCGTATAGTATGATGTGAATTCATACAGATGACTAACAACATACAAAATAAGGTTTGTACTAGATTATATCGAACAATGCCCTAATTTTTTGAACTGTTCATACCAGATGATCCACGATCGTACATTTGTTGACCTCATTTTTATATGAGGTCACTTGGACCAATCCTAACCCCAGACCAATCTAGACTCTAGGATCTTCCTAGAATTTAGATCTTAGGATCTACTCTAGACCCTAGGATTTTTCCTGACCAATCCAGACCTTAAGACCTATCTAGACCTTAGGATCTACTATAGACCCTAAGATTCTTTCTGTCCAATCCAGATCTTAAGATCTATCTAAACCCTAGGACCTTACCAGACCATAGGTTCAGACTCCATACCCTATGATCTTCTTAGGCCTTGGGATCTATCTATACCTTAGCCCAATCCAGACCTTAAGGATTAATTTAGATCTTAGATCAATCCAGACTCAAATCCAAGGCTAAAGGTCCAAGACCAGAAAGCCTTTTCTAAGGAATTTTCAAACACTTTCAAACCCAACCAAATGATCTCTGATTCAGAGTCTATCACATGAATATTTATAGGACATGTCTATAGAGGCAATCCTCCAAATTTGAGCCCATTCCGAGGTCTGTAACCTCAAAATTTGAATTGAAATCCAAAGGCTATAAGACCTTTAAATATTTACAGCCTATGACACTATACCTACCACCTAGTGGATCTTGACCTTAGAGCTTTCCCCAAAGTCTCTAATCACATCCAGAACCTTAATCCTGATTGTTGAGCATCAAACTATATTTTGGTGGACCCAATTTGACCACTAGTTGACCAGGAGTCAAATGACCAAAATGCCCCTTAAGAACAATTTTGAAATTTTCTCAAAATTTCAACTTGACCTTTCAAATCAAATCCCAAAACCACTCCCAATGCATCCTAATCACCATTAGGATTGCAATGGATTCAAGACCAAGACCCTGGTCAAACCTAGTTGACCAGGTCAGTTTAATTTGACCAAAATACCATTAGGATCTAAATAATCATTTTAACTAAATTGACCTTCCTGACCTTTGAAATCGCCTTCAATAAACTACAAATATCATTTCAAACCTATTAAATCCAAACCCATCCCTTGGTTCAACATGGTTGACCAAGTCAACCTATGTCGACCAAAGTACTCCTCAAGGCTTTAAATGAGTTATCCCAACCCATTTAACATATCAAACCCATTTCAAGCTTCAAATCAACTACAAATCGTGGCCTAATCGTGCCCAAATGCTTAGCGAATCAAACCCAATCTAAGTTGACCAAGTCAACATGTCTCTACACTTAGCTATATCACCTTGAATACCCTTTCAAATTTCAAGCATTTCATATTAAACCCTTAGGATTCCTCCAAAGTAGCATTTAAACAATTCCCTAGGAGTGGTTAAACCCTCAGTTGAAAGATGGTCAAATGACCTCTTAAACTTAATCCACTCTATTTGAAAACCTTCCAACTATCCTAATCAACTTCTAAAACCTTCTCAAGACTTTTTCTAGCCCTTGGATCAAGATCCAATAGCTTCTATCAATCCACATGTCCAAGTGGGGACCAAATCCCTTTACACATGAGATGTACCCCCTTGTCCTTTGATTCTCCTATTCCCAATAACCTCCAGGACACCTGGCAACCATCAAGAAGCCTACCTAGTTGATCTCAGCCATTTATTTGTCCTGAGGATTTCTAAATAAGGAAAAATGACCAAATTAAGGATCATTCCAACTCTCTCTCTCTCTCTCTCTCTCTCTCTCTCTCTCTCTCTCCCTCCCTCTCTCCCCAACTAGAGCACCTCAAACCCAACCTCCTATTTCCTAGAGCTCACTAGACCCTCTTCAACACTTCCCCACTTAAATCGTACCGGTCAAAACCATTTCTAGTGTATTTCCCAGTGAACCTAGCTCAAGTCCATTCAAGGAGTTTTAGCGCTCGATCCAGGCATTTTTAGCTGGAGAGGCCTTCTACTGGACTACACTTGGACAAACTACAAGTTCAGAGAGCTCGAGTTCATCCAAATCCATTAACTATATGAGGTATAATCCCAAACCCTAGTTTAAGGCACTTAGTTCAAATTAGATTTTAATAAGCACTTTTTAAACCATATTAATACATCTCTATTAATTCTCTTCATTAAGGGGTTCTATGTTTATAATTTAAGTCAAATGGTCGAGGAAATTGGGAGAACGAGCCAAAAAACCTATTTTAGGGCTCGATTTATGCAGGCCTAAACTACGTTAAATCTAGGCCATTGATTTCTTTATCAACATCCTAGATCTGGCTATTCATGAACATGGCTAACCTCGGATCCCATCCCATGGTGTATTCCCCCGTTCGGCT